CTTCTCTCCTTCTAACTCAGTGCTGTATAAACATTTTCTGAAGTAAAATCAAAAGCTCATTGAATGTATATTGTTGTCCCATCAATGTCCCCAGTGTTACTGTGGAATGAAACTGAACTGGTTATAAAGTGATCTTGCTCCATCCCTAATTCCCTGTGGGCAAAGCCCCTGCTCAGGTTCATTGCCTTCACCAGCTTTAGTTTCCTCAGGTAGAAAACCAAGAGTCTTTCTTAGGATTCCCTACACCATTCAAAAGATAAACAGCTCATTAAATAAAAAAAATCAAAGCATTAAAATTTTAATATAAAATGATGATAAATAACTTATGGGGACATCTGAAGCATTAAAAAGCTGTTCACTTATAAAGTATAAGCAATAATTGGCATCTCATTTTGAGTGGTCTTAGTCATTTTAAATTTTGGAAAAGCAAATGTGAGCTTAATCATATTAGTACTGTATCATGATATTTAAAAATCCTCTGTAATTAGCAGTGAGCCCTCTGCAATCACCTTTATAAGGAAGCACCATTATTCAGCAAATTATCTCCCATCCCAAGACTAAACACACAGAGCTCTGTGTTGCTAGTGTTCCTGGCTAGTTTAAGTTCTCATTAATTGGGATTTGGACAATAACTCTAATTGGGTCAATACAGTAAGAACTGCAACAGCATGTCCGTTATGTAAATCTCCCTTTCAAGGGAAATGAAAGGAAAAACAATGTTTTCCCATAGATTTCAAAATGGAATAGTTTGAGGGCAGTTTAAGTTGACACTAAATATTTAAACAGATTTTGCCAAATCACTATCAAAGAAATACAATAAAACAAACACATGATTATTTACACTGGCTTCATTATAATCAAAAGTGACAGTAATAGCTGGAAAAGATATTTTTTTTTTATCAACTACTCAACTACTGAGAAGTTATTTAATGGCCTTGCTTTTGAAACAAAACTTGTGAGTTTGGGAAGAAAGTTACTCATTCTCCTTGAATTCCCCAGGCTGTACCAATCTCCCAGTTCCAAAAGGAAATTATGGCACTGGGGAACTTTTATTTACCTCACTACATGAAGAAGCTGTTTTTCTCAGAAATAATTGATGTTTTCTAAAATCTGTTAATCACTGCAAAGTCCAAGCCAAGATATAAGTACCCTCAGTTTTGACAAGGCCCCAAAGAGGTCTCTAATGAGTGCTTCTTTATTGATTCAGGACTGCACAATAAAATAAGCACAAAATAGTATGATATGTACTCAACAGCAGTTAATGTTAAGGAAACCTCATAAAATAGGAGTGGAATATGAAGGGATCATGGGATAAATATTTATGAATCTACCTGAAAAATTAAAATCTGTGGTTCTCTTGGGTCTTGAGAGATGGCTCAGTAGTTAAAAGCATGTATTGTTCTTGCAGAGGACTCATATTTGGTTCTCAGGACCCACAACTTGCTGTATATCCAGTTCTAGATTGAATCCCTCTTCCATCTTCGGCTGATCTCGCCCCACTTACACACACATGTGCTGTGCATACACCCCCACCATGCATACATATAAAGTAAAATAAAGATTAAAAGAATGTGGTTCTCACTCTGCTCTTCCACAAATTTACACTTGAAAATGCATGGATATGGGGCTGGAGAGATGGCTCAGAGGTTAAGAGCACTGGCTGTTCTTCCAAAGGACCCGAGTTCAACCCCTAGCACCCTCATGACAGCTCACAACTCTCTGTAAGAGTTCCAGGAGATCCGACACCCTCACAGTCATACAAGTAGGCAAAATACCAATGCACATAAAATAAAAATGAATTATTTAAAAAAGAAAATACAAGAATATTTCTCAAAAATAAATATAAAACTACTAGGACATTGATGTATTTGTGATTATTCAAAAAAAATGTCAAGAAATCCACAAAGTATTTGATTTCCTATATGAAAAAATCCAGTCTTTTATGATATATTATCTTTACTGTTGGGATATCAACATTAACAAACCATTCTTCTGGAATAAACTCCAACACAGACAGTACAGGTAGTGCTTCGTGTATATACGCATGTTTACTATTGTGCACGTATGTGCTGAGGACAGGGTCAATCTCCAGTGTCATTCCTCAGGAGCTGTCCATATTGCTTCCTGTGACAGTGTGACTTCCTGGCCTGGGCTCTGCAGATTCTGCTAGGCCGGCCAGACAGTGATACTCAGACCTGCTCCCACATCTCTAACACCGCGATTACAAGGCATATCATCACCATGTTTGGTTTCTTATGTTGGTATTGGGATTGAACTCAAGTTCCTATGTCCACTACATCCTCATCAGTCTTGTGTTTTTGTTCATATGGAGGAAGCCATTTTAAAAAGACATCTATACTTATTTTTCCATGAATTATGCGCTTTCTGTTTTATATATATATATAATATATATATAACAGAAATATATATTAAATATATATATTAATATGCATATTAAACTTTATCTTTGGATATATAAACCCTGCATTTTGTCAGCAGAATGGGCATAAGGACAGACAACAAAGACACAAGTGGGGCATCCAGAGCCTCCTCTCTGGTAGGAGGGAGCAAAATTGGCCTTTCTAAACTGGCTGTGGCTGACATGCAGAATGAGTGACTCAATGTGGCCAATTAAATATATCAGACTCTTGTGAGCAGAGACACTGTGGCTTAATCTAAAGTAGGAATTGTCCCTTTAATTCTTTGGCTCCATAATATACACCTTTTGGATAGTAAATGAACCTGGATAGAACGGGCACAATGACAGAGATTACAGATGGACTCAGGACTGAAATTACAGATGGAAAGCCTACCGTACCCTGATATCTACTCAGCATCCATGACATGAGTTGTCACTCTATTTATCCTCACCGCCAGTGATCCTGTAAGTGTAAGTACCATTCTCCCCTAAATAAAGACCTTAGAGCTTAGAGAGGTTAAACTACTGCCAAAGGTCAAGTGGCTGAGATGTGACTGTGCGTGTGGAACCAAAGCCCCTGCCGTCCGGTGCTGTCGCATGATGCTTTTCTTGCCGGAAGAGGGGTTCTCAGTCTAGCTGAAGCCTGGAATCTGGGCTGGAGTGTGGGTATTCAGCACCACACATCACACAGTCGAATCTATGTGAATTCCTTTCACAGTCTGAGAAGAGGAGACTCAAAAGGAGAATAAACAAAGAGAGACAGAGATCAAGTTCTAACAACAAATACAACCAAAGAGTAATTTAAGAGATTAAGACTGCAAATGTTTCCTGTTTACTTCTTCTGGCTTTCAGAGGCAAAGGCTCTGCCCTGCAGACTATCAAAGCAGATGCTGAGCCTGATGGCCAACTGTTAGGCAGAGTAAATGGAATTTTATGTAAGAAGTGGGAAATAGAAAGAGCTGGAGAGGACAGGGTCTCCACAAGGAGAGCAACAGAACAAGAAAATTTCAACACAGGGAACTTCCCAGAGACTCATACTCTAACCAAGGACTATTCATGGAGGTAACCTAGAACCCCTGCACAGATGTAGCCCATGGCAGCTTAGTGTCCAAGTGGGGTTACATAGTAATGGGAAGAGGGACTGCCTCTGACATAATCTGATTGGCCTGCTCTTTGATCACCTCCCCATGAGGGGGGAGCAGCCTTACCAGGCCACAGAAGAGGACAATGCAGCCACTTTTGATGAGAACTGATAGACTAAGATCAGAAAGGAGAGGAGAACCTCCCCTATCAGTGGACTTGGGGAGGGGCATGCATGCAGAAAGGGGAGGAAGGATGGGATCGGGAGGGGAGGAGGGAGGGGCTTATGGGGGGTACAAAATGAATAAAGTGTAATTAATAAAAAATTTAAAAAATTTAAAAAAAAGACTGCAAATGTAAAGACATAGATTTTAAATTTCAAAACTAAAAGAATGTAATAGTTAAAAAGAGAATAACATTTAAAAAGAGAATAACAAAGCTGACTCAGAGTTTGAAGCCACAGAAAGTGTTAACTGCATAGAAAGTATGGGTAGAGTGGGAACAAACAGCCTTTGGCAATAGGATTATGGACTTTTCGTGACTCAGGTGACACGATGACCAGAGTTCTGAGGACCACACTTCAAAGCCACATGGATAAATGGGGTGAGGCCTGCTCAGATACATGAAAGGCCCATTGTGTGAGGAAGATTTACATGATCTGGGATAATCAAAAACTCAGGAAAGAAGAGGATTTCTGTTGGATTAAACAGAGTCATGACCAGACTCCAGGAAGCAGAGTCCAGCATGGGGTATAACAGTAAGAACCAGGGAATTGATGACCTCACCCCCACCCAGAGCATAAGGGCAGCTACTGGCAACTAAACTGATTGTAGGGAAAATGAAAAGGCCTAGTGCAGAAAGGGCTCAAGAATTTATCTGCTTCTGCTTTGATAAAAACCAAAATTTGCACTGGTTTGCTAGGCCATCTACTGTGATAACTGTGAAAGTTATTATTATACCGGCCAAGAGTCTCAAGAGAAGACCTTACTTCCTCTCTGATGCCTAAGTATGAATGAACAAGTCATACATGTAGCAGTATTTTACTATCCTCTGAGGATATGAATCCACCCTCAGGATCACATCACCATCACAGAGCATGCTGAAAAGGAGCCTTGACACAGAACGTTGCTCAGAGATGGACCTGGTCTCAGGTATTCTGGAAATGCCAGACTTTATAGGTTTTCTGATCTTTCAGATACAATGAGAAAGTTGTCTATTCTACACAGTAGTTGTTCTGCAGTTCAGTGAAAGATAGGAGGTGTCATCTCCCTTAGACTCTGGCATCACAGACTACGGGAGCTTAACAAGCATCCTTGTTATCCATGCTGACCTTGTTGAGATGAAGCTTGGTCTATGTACACACACACACACACACACACACACACACGTATGTATACATACATACATACATATATATATATATATATATATATATATATATGCACAGATGACGTGAACCTTTCCTTGCCATTTTGTATAGGAAGGGAATGCAAGTACTCACTGTCATTTCTGAGGAAATTGTTAAGCAGCTGGAAAAGGGGAAAGCTATCCCAGGAGTCTTGAGGTTGGGCCTCCAGTGCAGTGTCCATATCTACTGTGAATAAAGCCCAAAACTTCTCTGCATGCTCAGCCAGTAAGTCCGGCCACCAGGCAAATGCCTGCAAGAAGATAGAGAAGTAAAGGAGAAATTTATGACCTGTTAGAAACATATATAAGTACTATGCCCCTGAAAACATACAACATGCCTCAGTTTCACAAACCAGGGTGATAAATATAATATTTTTTAAGATAAGAAATTTTATAGGTTTCACATATGCATGAACAAATTTGTCGTTGATGAATAAAACATAAAATAGGCATTTATTTCTTTAGAAACCATAGTCATAAGCCATACAAAAACTTATAAAACAAAAAGATGGAAAAATTCTTCACATATAAAAACTATACACAACTAATGTGAGTATTTCCAATATCACCATTTTTATGAACAGATGTACTAACATATTTGGCATCATACTGTATGATAATTCCCTCCCAATCCCACCCTCCCTTCTTCTTCTCTCCCTATGCCCCTCCCTTAGTCCACTGATAGGTAAGGTCCTCCTCCCCTTCTATTTGACCCTAGTCTGTCAGCTCTCCTCAGGACTGGTTCCATTGTCTTCCCCTGTGGCTTGGTAAAGCTCTTCACCCTCAGGGGGAGGTGATCAGAAAGCCTGCCACTGAATCTACTGCCTTTTTTGAACCATTACTCCTTTAATTTTGAGAGTCTCAAGGACAGTGTGGTAAGATCTTTACAAATAAATCAACAACTAAAATACTGATTATTTTGTTACAGTTTGGAGATGAAGTGTCTCTCCAAAAGGTATGTGTCGGGGGCTTATTACGAAGCTGGTGGTGCTATTTTGGGAGCTTTCAGAAGCTTTAGGAGTTAGGAACTGGCTTGAATCTCTCTGCTTCCTGATTTGAAGTGCTCTGCCCTCCATGCCTTCCTCATCATACCAGACAGAACCACCTGTTAACCACGAGCCCAAACAGCTTTTTCCTTTCTTCCATTGTTTCTGTCAGATATTCTTGTCACACTGATGAAAAGTGAGAAATAAGAGGTGGGCTTAACTGGTGTTTCAGAGCTTTCCTATACTGTAAACTGCTCTCTAGAAACAGTCTTTACTCCTTTCCGCTCACCAGTCAGCGACAGGTCATCATTTTACTGTTTAAAGACATTAAGTAGGCTCATACTCTTTCCCAACTTGAAGTCTCATTTCATCTTCCCAACATCTTCCCAAAAGCCTTAACTAGCTTGCAAAGCCCCATGACCTCCTGTTTCCTAAGGAGGACTTCTCATCTACCAGTGTGAATTAGGCCCCTGGAGCCTGAGACTTCACTTCATGTGACACAATGTTGCTAGGTGATTACATGCCTGCTTCTCAGACCGTGAACAACAGTGCAAGCATAGGCCTGGTCTGTTTTTTACTTTGTACTCAGCCAGGCCTCTTAAGGACTGGCAATGAAACGATCACTTAAAAAAAATTTCTCGGGTGGGGCAAGATGGTAGCGCCGGGAGGACTCTCATTCTGAAGAGCAGCACAGCAGGATTGGCACAGAGACCAGCAATCAGAACTCGCGGCCATAAAACACAAGTGATTGTGTTTCCCAGGTGAGAGGATACCCCACGGTGGGGGATTCAATCAGCTTTAACTCACCCGGCTAAACCTAGGAAGAGATCCTGGTTCCGCCAGGCGCTTGGTCGCCAGCCCAGAGCTACCCGCCAGTGCGATCTGGTCACGGTCCCAGACTGAACTGTGGGCCCACAACACCATAGACTGGATTTCCCAGTCGAGAGATAACCCCACGGAGCAGGAAACAATTGGGACCGACCTTAGGTTACCCAGACATCCCCTGGAAAAGACTCGGGTTCCGCGGGTGCCCCAGGAGCCAGCCCGGACCCAGAGCCGGGAGGGACAAAGGCGCCTGCCTGCACAGAGCCCTGCCTGCGCGCGTGATTCGCCGCCTCAGATAGAACTGTGGGCACCAGGGCACCAGGGCACCAGACTGCGTGTCTCTGGCAGAAGGAAACCCCCAGCGGAGGGGGTCAGCAGCTCTAACGCTTAGGACACACAGCACCAAAACACTTCCTGGACTCACGCAGACTCTAGTGCAGGCAGAAGCGCTGTGCTCTGCCGCCATTGTTGCGTTCCCCTGGGGCACTGGGACACACAGCTGCATCCTCGGACCTGCAGGAGCCGAAGAGCCATTACAGCAGCCCTCAGATACTGTGCCAGGGATCAGCCAGTTGTCCCTGGCTGGACTGCCAAAACTGTAGGAATCCCTGATCCTTCAGGGGGGCTGCACCCACAGCGTCTGGACCAGAGCGGTGCCTACAGTCGCCATCCCAGACAGAGACACACAGCTTCTGGTCCAGAGTGAGGCACCCAGCCTCCAGACCAAAGCAGTGCCCCCAGGCGCCAACTCAACCTATGTGCACATTCTCCAGGTCCAGAGCAGAGCAATCAGCCTTTGGCCCAGAGACTTGCTGAGTGCACCTCCCACTTTCTCAGACAGAACTGTGCGCCCCAGGATAACAGACTGAGTTTCCCTGTTGGGAGAAAACCCCATAGCTAGGGAATCAGCAGTTTCTTCAAGAGGACTGTACATGGAAATTTAGTGAGCAGCAGCACACTAAATTTATAACAAGAAACCCAGCAGTGGGGCAGCTGTCTTGAGAAATTTTATGGGTAAGAGGAGATTCCCCCCCTGCCTAACATACACCACAGCTACTACTCAGGGCTATAAACCTGAGGTGAGCAGTGGCAACTCCAGAGAAACACTGGCCATACAGTGACCATAACCAAAAAGCAGAGAAGGACTCCTTCAGGAAAAATCATCTTACGGCCAAGGGGATACTCCCTACCTCAGGACTCCAGGAAGCACAGAAACTAACAGCCAAAACCTAAATCAGCCCAATGGGTAGAGGTCAGCGTAAAGGCTCAACCAACAAAAGACAGAGCAATATGGCATCTCCAGAACCCAGCCATCCAGGGGCGAACAGCCCTGAACAATGCAGCATAATAGAAAATCAAGAAGATGACCTTACATGTATGTTGATGAAGAGAATAATAGAGGAAACAGATAAAATACGTAAAGAATTAGAGGAAGATAAAACCAAACAGATCATGGCTATCCGTAAAGAAATGGAGGAAGATAAAGACAAGCAGATTAGAGCCATCCGTGAAGAAATACGGGAAGATGCAGCCAAACAGCTTGTGGCCTTCAGAGAAGAAATAATTAAATCATGGAAAGAAATAAAAGAGACAGAGTTGAAGGAACTAAAAGAAAAAGAGGAAAATACAAGCAGACAGGTGAAGGAAGTAAACAAAACAACTCAAGACATGAAGATAGAACTAGAAAAATTAAAGAAAACACAAATGGAGGAAATAATGGAGAGGAAGAATTTAGGGAAGAAAACAGGAACTACAGAGGTAAGCATAACCAACAGAATACAAGAAATGGAAGGAAGAATCTCAGGTGTAGAAGATACAATGGAAGAAATCGATGTATCGGTCAAAGAAAATGTTAAATCCAAAAAATTCCTGACACAGACCGTCCAAGAAATCCAAGACAATATGAAAAGACAAAACCTAAGAATAATAGGAATAGAGGAAAAAGAAGACTCCCTTCTCCAAGGCCCAGAAAATATTTTCAACAAAATCATTGAAGAAAATTTCCCCAAGTTAAAGGAGAAGCCAATAAGGATACATGAGGCCTACAGAACACCCAACAAATTTGACCAGAAAAGAAAATCCTCCCGCCACATAATAATCAAAACAGGAAGTATACAGAACAAAGAAAAAATACTAAAAGCTGAAAGGGAAAAAGACCAAGTAACATATAATGGCAAACCCATTAGAATCACACCTGACTTTTCAACAGAAACTATGAAAGCCAGAAGGGCCTGGACAGATATCATGCAGACCCTAAGAGAACACAGATGTCAACCCAGGCTACTATACCCTGCAAAACTCTCAGTCCTCATAGACGGAGAAAACAAGATATTCAATGACAAAAACAAATTTCAACAATACCTACACACAAATCCAGCATTACAGAAGACACTGGAAGGGAAAATACAACCCAAGAAAATTAGCTTCTGTCAAGAAAACACAGGAAATAATTAACCTTACTACAGCAAAACAAAAAGCAACCAAGCACACAAACTTATGAACACAGCCAACATCAAAATCAAAGGATCTAACAACCAGTGGTCATTAATCTCTCTCAACATCAATGGACTCAACTCTCCAGTAAAAAGACACAGATTAACAGAATGGATACGTAAACAAAACCCAGCAATCTGTTGCATACAAGAAACACACTTAAATCACAAAGATAGACATTACCTGAGGGTAAAAGGTTGGAAGATGACTTTCCAAGCAAATGGACCCAAGAAACAAGCAGGAGTAGCCATTCTAATATCTGATAAAATAGACTTTCAACCAAAATTAATAAAAAGAGATGAGGAAGGACACTTCATACTCATCAAGGGAAAATTCCACCAGGAAGACATCACAATCCTGAACATCTGTGCCCCAAATACAAGAGCACCCACATTTGTAAAAGAAAGATTGATAAAATTTAAACCACATATAGATCCCCACACATTAATAGTGGGAGACTTCAACACCCCACTCTCAACAAAGGACAGGTCAACAAAACAGAAATTAAACAAAGAAACAATATCTCTGACAGAGGTCATGAATCAAATGGACCTCACAGACATCTACAGAACTTTACACCCAAACACAAAAGAATTTACCTTCTTCTCAGCACCTCATGGAACCTTCTCCAAAATAGACCATATAGTTGGTCACAAAGCAAGCCTCAACAGATACAAGAAGACTGAAATAATCCCTTGTATCCTGTCTGATCACCATGGAATAAAGCTGGACTTCAACAACAACAGAAATAGCAAAAAGCCTACACACTCATGGAAACTGAACAACTTGTTACTAAATGACAGCTGGGTCAGGGAAGAAATAAAGAAAGAAATTAAAGCCTTTCTAGAACTCAATGAAAATGAAGACACAACATACCCTAACTTGTGGGACACAATGAAAGCAGTGCTAAGAGGAAAGTTCATAGCACTAAGTGCCTTCAAGAAGAA